TCTGAAGAATCTGCCCTTGGGGTATCTCACCGTTTAGGGCCCCCCCAAACAGCAGGGGAGCCCTCGCCTCACAGCTGCGGGAATGAGCGTCCCGTCTGAGGGAAGGTCTCTGCAGAGGCTGGAGTTCTTTCTGAATGTCAAGCTGATGCAGTTACCAAAACAGACAGACTGAAAACTAAAGTCGCCTGCTGTGTGTTAGGTCTCCCTCCACACAGGACAGGACGTCCTGTACTAAGTTTCTCTTCCAGAAATGCTTTAAATTGTGGCAAAATACCCATAACATCAAAGTTTGCCATCTTAACCATTTTTAAGTGGGCAGATCCGTGGAACAGAGTTTCTCTTCCACAATTTTTAATATCTGTTCCCACCTGACAGTGCCACCTAATTCCCCAGGGTAGAACAAGACACCATTCACCGTCGAACGTCCCCGTGCTTCCACAAATGGCGCCCTTGCCCTCGGGTGGCGTCTTCTTGGCTGCAGCCCTCTCAGCTGAAGCTTTGGATTCTGTTGGCCCCAGAATTCTCCGCTTTGAGCTCCGTGACTTTGGACACATGTCTTTGGCTTTCTTGTCCATGAACTATACATAGCGAGGCTTCCCCTGGGGAGAGAGACTAGAGTAGGATAATGATGCCCAGACAGCAGCCGTCGCCCACCGGCCCCAGGAAAGGCCCATCTCCCCAAGGCCGCCCTTGGGGGGTCACGAGCGGCTTCTTCTCCAAGCAGGAAGCGCGGAACAGGCTGGATCCTGTCAGAGCAGGTTAAAAAAAAAGCTCCAACTCCAGCAGGAAGAGACTGGGTGAAAACTAGCCCGGCCTGAAGCCGATCACTGACCTCCTGCTTCGTGAAGTCGATATGGACTCTCTGTTGCCTCTTTGTGCCTTCACCTAATAGGAAAGTCCCTGCAGGTGTGAGCTGGGACTTACAAAGGAGGTCGGAGATAGCAGCCCTGGAAAAATAATTCCACCTATAAACACCTGTGTTAACAAGTGCTGTATTTGTACAGCTATTTTCTTTTTCAAATACTGTTTACACACACCTATTCTCTTATCCCGCTCAGGTGTGGGTTGCATGGCATCTGGGGACCCACTGGCTGGGGGCCAGCCTGCCCGGCAATGTGCGGCTCGGAGGCCGGGCCTTCCTGGGGCCTGTTGTGGTACACGGTGCTCCCAGGGCGACTGCCTGGAGCCCAGCCAAGTCCTGATGAGCCTGAGGACTGAGACCTCCGTGGGGCAGGAGGGACCGAAGGGCGGGGGGTGGGGGGGGTGGAGGCTTAGGGGACAGTGACCCCAGCTGGATGAAAGAGGACACCTGCTTTGCTCCTCCTGGCCAGGTCGCTTTGCATTTTCACACCGAAAGGAAATTTGAACCCCGCAACCACCTGATTACAACTCCCAGGACTCAGGAGTGGGAGATGCCAAAGACCAACAATGAGCAGAGGGCGGGAGAGCCCCGGTCTATAAGAACTCTAGAACTTGGTTAGAATCCCATCGAACTCCAGGGAAGCCCTTGGGTCTCACCTGGCGAGAGGCCTCAGCTGCCTTGCAGGGGAGACTCACTGTCTTCGGATGCCTGATGCTCAGGTGCTGGCTCGGCTCGACACAGGAAAAATCTCCAAATCAGTGTCATGTGGGGGCAGTTAAGAACAATGGCCCCGGTGGGAGAGCCAAACATCTCTGCACATTACTTACCATAAACCTTTTATCTGGAAGAGCTGTGTGTTTGCAGAGAAGCTCCTCCCCCATGCCGCCCTGCCAGCTTCTGGCAAAGCTACGGAGCGTTTTTTTCATCTGGGCACCAGTGTCACTCGCCGTGAACTGAACGCCACAGGTTATCGGGATCTCACCAGCGTTTCCTGGGTCCTTTTCCTGCCCCAGGATCTTCTCCAGGATCCCTCATCCCATTTGGTTTCCCGTCTCTGGGGCCTCCTCTGGTCTGTGATAGTTTCTCAGACCTTCCTTGTTTTGGATGACCTTGAGGGTTTTGAGGTCGGGTGTTTTTGCAGAATGTCCCTCACGTTGAGCCTGTCTGATGTTTTTCTCATGGTTGGACTGGGGTTAAGGGTTTGGAGGGGAGCCCACAGAGGTGAAGGGTCATTTCATGACATCATGTGCAGGGAACGTTCCACGAGGCACTTCGTACTGCTGAGGCGGCCTTGAGCAGCGGCGGGCTCTGCCAGGGTCTCCAGGGTAGTCGTCCCATGCCCTTCCACACCGTCCTCTCTGGGGGCAAGTCACAGGCCGCCCACACCCACGGTGGGGAGCTGGTTCCCTCCACCTCTTGGAGGGGCAGAACTGACATAAATGATTTAGCATTTTCTTGCAAGGGCGAATCATTTCTTCTTCCCGCTGTTTATTGACACAATCATTTATTATGGGTGTGGTAATATTTATTTAAACTTTGGGCTACCCGCCCCCCCTTCAGGTTGGCTCGTGGGTCCAAGACATGCTCCCATCCATGCGGTTTTTGGGTGCTTCCTTACTTAAGAAGAAAGGTACTACTTGACTTGACACCTGCTGGCTTCTGTTTTAGGCACTTTATTTGCATTTTCACCGTTTAATAATAGCCACTCATTTCTTTCCCTAACACACTCTCTCTCTTCCTGTCCGAAACGAAGTTTTCACTCTTGTCCTAAGCGTGGCTTCGCGGGGTAGTGAGGAGCACGGACAGGGAGGCAGGTGGCCAAGTTTGTCCCCAAGTTCCGCTCCTCACCAGCTGTGTGACCTCGAATACCAGCCCCCGGCCTCCGATCTGTGAGATGGCGACAACCACGTAGCTCAAGGCCGCGAGCGCCTGAGACCAGTGCACACAGGTGCCTGGCATGGGAGGCACGCAGAGGGGCAGCTTTGCCATCCTGGCTCTGTCCCGAAGTGACTACGTGATCTTTTTGATTCTTCGAAACTCAGTTTCCCGGTCTGTAGAATTGGGACCGGACCAGATGGCCCTGAAGATTGCTCTCCTGACGTTGCACGTGGGCTCAGGTACCGTTGGCTGGTGGGGATGTGTGGTGGGGGACGAGGACAGGAGAGGGGCCCGCAGCCGTGCCAACAGGAACTCCACAGCCCGGCCCATGGCCAGCCCCAGCCGCAGCTCAGAGTGAGCTCTGTGATCTGCCAAGCAGAGAAAGATGGCTTTTTGCACTAAATTTGATACTAAAAAATGTAACCTGCACGTCTGGGCTGAGCCCGCATGTGCTTCAGCACATAGCATACCTCGGCTGGCTGGGCACCAGCTGGGGATCGGAAGCCAGTCCGGCCTGATAGAGTGTGAGCTATCTGCTCTCACTGGAGAGCACGTGTGTTTCGTACGTTCTTAGATGTCAGGTCTTTCAACTTGGTGCGTCTTTCTCTACCCATAGTGGTATTTGTCAGCTTCTGTCGAAAACCGGGATTTGGGTTGGGGTATGAGGTTGGGTTTCTGGTGTGATTTTCCGAGGTTACAGGTGCTGAAACCAGGGCCAGGCCTGGTAGTCAGTGGGGTGTGGCTGCTCACTGAGCTTCCTGTGGGAGCTGGGCCTCAGTCAGTGATGTGGGCCAGGTCACCAGAGCAGAAAAGGGACAGATTGGGAGGGCGGGCTCTGGACATGGTGCTGGGGCACAGCTGGGGGAGCAGACCAGGTGCCCACAGCTTGTCTGGTTTAGCCCGGGGGAGAGTGGCTGCGGTGGGGGTGCAGGGAGGGCTGCTTAGGGCAAGAGGAAGAAAGTTAAGGCACTCACCCTAACTAGGTCACAGGTTAGTGGGAGCCCAGGGCTTTGGTCAAGGAGGTGGATGTTCCAGGGGTCAGGGCTGTCAGGGGAGGGAGAGAAGGAGAAGGGGGGTCTAAGTGTGAGCCTCGGTGATGATGGGCCCAGGACAGCAAAGGAGGGCTCAGAACACCCAGTCAAGGGAGTGTGTGGTAGTAAGGACAGGATCCAAGGGGACAGGCCGACTGGCCTTCCTTCTGTACAAACAGTTGCAGGAATTACTGTACAGATGTTTTCCCGCGTGTGTATAAGGATGTTTGAGGAGGCCGTGTTTGCAATGGGATAAAATGGAGACAGTGAAGATGTCCAGTAGCAGGGCATTGGGCTTATCTGTGATATGTGTCTATATAATGGGATACTTGGGGCGTATTGAAAAGAATAAAATAGGCCTGTAGGAATTGGTGTAGAAAACATTGCAAACACACATTGCAGAGGGAGAAAAACCAAGTGCAGAGCACCGAGAATTAGGTATCATTTGAATAAAAGCAAACCTACAAATGGTGCTGGGATATTGTATCATTTAGGATGGGTTTTCCTGCAAGGAACAGAAAACCCAACTAATAGTGGTTAAAAAAAATAAGGGTTTATTTTTCTCATGTAACCCCACACCTGGAAGGAAGCAGTTGCTTCTTACCAAGGTTTTCAGGGACCTGGGTTCTTTCTTTCCTGTGCCAACTCCATGGAATATGTTGGCATTTAAATCCTTACCCTTACTTCCTCATGGTCCTAAAGTGGCTGCTATAGCTACAAACATCACATCCAAGTACAGGGAGTGAGGAAGGGGACTGGTCTGTGCCAGACACAACTGTCTTTTTAAATTATTATTACTATTTGGTGATCGAGAGCTTTTCAGATGCCACCTGGCCCCTCCTTACCCTGCCATGGGCCAATTTGCCCCCACATCTCGTTGCCTGGGACAGGGCCACTGGCCACCGACGGGTGAGGCCTGAGTGAGCAGGCTGCTGATGCTGGGAGGCAGACCCCTGTGCCGGGCACCTTCAGGGACAGAGGACAGAGGCAGGTCTCAGCCAGGTCAGCACTAGCAGTGGGGAGAGAAGGAAGGCAGGGGTGGGGTGGGGTGGGGCAAGGGGCTGGGAGAGCTGGATCCCCTCATTTTCGGAACATTGACTTGGTGGGCACTCATGACTTTCTTGCTGCCTCCTCTTCTAGTGGGCCGCGTCAAAACTATTTTTTTTTTAAAAGATTTATTCATTTATTTGAGAGAGAGAGAGCACGTGCGTGCATGAGTGGGGGGAGGGGCAGAGGGCGAGAGAGAGAGAGAGAGGCAGACTCCCTGCTGAATGCAGATACCCCTACACCCCAGTGTGGGGCTCGATCCCACAACCCCGAGATCATGACCTGAGCTGAAACCAAGAGTCAGACACTTAACCGACTGAGCCACCCAGGCGCCCCTCGACACTAACTTGTGAGGAAGGATGTGTCATGGAGACTCAGGACGGAACTTCGTGTGGACCAGAGAATGGAAGACGCTGACCTTGACCTGGATTTAAAATAGGGCTGCAGATTTTGCAGAACGGTCCCCCAGCTCTCCATCCATTTATCTATAGGAGGTTCTTCCCCATCAAAGTCAAACTATACTTAGTTTGAGCCCTTAAAATTTCTCTTTAGCAAAGGGTCAATCTATACCAGTGTGTATTTGAGTTGCTTGTGTGTGCAAGAAAAGATCAGCATCGTGTGAATCTTGATGCTCGTGAATTGAAAAGCCAGAGGAGGGTGGTGCCTCCCCAACAATATCGGGACTGACCGTAGAGTCCAGGAAGGATTATATAGAGACTCAAAGATTTTTCTGGTAGCCATTCCTTAAACTACAAAGTATACATACTGCCTAGATCTGAGAACCTAAGGGCAAGTGTATCAGTCAGAGCTCACTGCAGGAAGCAGAAACCGCTCCAGATATATTAAGTGGAAAGGGTTTTCATACAGGAGGTTTGGTCTTTAGAAAGGGCTGAAGGAGCAGGTTCTAGGCTGCGCTACTGGATGACACCTAGAAGAATACAGAACTGGCCATCAGGAGAGCAGCTGCAAGGAGGCCTGGGCAGTGCCTTCCAATTCTTGCCTGGGACAGAAGGAAACTGGGCCACTCCAGAGTCCAGCTCACAGGGCAATGCCAACAGGTATTGTGCAGCTAAAGCGGGTGTGTGGAATACTGATTCTCTGGGAAAAGTTTGACTCAGAAACACCTATGCTTTGGGTGGTTAAGTGATGAAAAGCCACCTTTTCTCCCGGTTTCCACATGCAATTCTAGATGCTTCCGGTCTCAGCTCTACCGTCTTTCCTATGTGGCCTTGGACAAACCTCAGCTGCCCCCGTTGTCAAACAAAGGTATGTGACAGACTTGCAAGGGGGCTTTGGGCTTTGGGGCGACTCCTCACAGTATCTCTTCACTCACGCTTTGGGTCTTGAGCGGAGCTAGTCTTATAAACACTTTTGTGAAGAGCAACTCTTTGTTCCTGGGTTTTCCAGACTTTAAGGGCACTTCACGGGTGGTGGGGGGTGGATGGCTCATGGAGATCAAAGCAAATTAGGAGGAAGAAAACTTGTGGAACATTTGTAAGGCCCGGGCAGAAGTGGACTGTTGCCCAGGCGACCGTGTCTGCTGTGAAATGCGAGGCTTTGTTGCCCCCTGGGCTCTGTCTCCTTTGCTGCCTCCAGGGCTGGCCTCCTTTTGCAGATGAGGACCAGTGGCTCGGCCAGCTCTGGGACGTTGGGGTGAGGCTACAGAGACCACATGATGGTAGAGAGGAGACCGGTCCTGTGATAGGTACCCTCTCCCAGCGAGAGTAAGGGGCCTGTCTCCTGGGAGGTTTTGCCAGTTCCCAGCTGGGCTCCTTCGTATCCAAAAGAGGAAGCGGAGGGAGTCAAAGGTTTAGGATGGGGTCCCTCCTGCCTGTCTGCCTGGCTCCAGTGGTATGCTGGCAGATGTTTAACAACTGACCATGAGAAAAAAAAAGCCCACGTTTGACCATTTTTGTGGTGTAAATACTCTCATCATGCCGATTCCAAGCTGCTGATGAGACATCACTAAGTGCGAGGTCACACTTGGCTTAGCCATCCAGGGAGGGCTGGCTTTAGCAGACCACCGACTTAATGGTCCCCCTCATACCCGTTGGGGAAAGCCCCCATTACTCATGGAGGGGAGAAGCGAGACCAGCCTGGGGATCATGGAGACTAAGGGGAACACACAGGCTGCCGGGCCTAAGGGGTCTTGCCCTGAGGAGGCACTGACGTCACACTGGGGTGGAAGATGGTCTAAAGTCATGTGTGGTGACTGTTCTCCAGAAGGGATGGTTTTAGGGTACCACCGTAACCACTTCCTATCCCACGCCAGTGACCTCAAGGACTGGTCTAAGTGCACAGAGTAAGTAACTGCCCATGTAAAACTCTTGCCTCAGCTCTGTGAATAAGCTCATTTATTGGACGCCTCAGAGGGAGTGGTGCTCCTTCCCCAGTAGACCAGAGCAGGAAGACGGGGCACAGGCCTAAGGCCTGGACAGGACCCCGGGCTCTCGGCCTACATGGAGTCATTTCCGCACCCCCCCCCCCCCCGGCCCTACTGGAAGCTCACGCTACCTTACCTGTGGCTTGTTCCTCCTTCTTTCCCTTGTTCCAGGCCTAGGAAGGGGCTGTTGTCCCAGGGCTTGCTGAGGACATTCAAGGGTTGTCCCTCGAGCATTGGAGAAGCACCGCAGAGACCCCTTCCAGCAGTGTGGCTGAGTGGGGCTAGCCATGGGCCACAGGGGTGAGCAATGAGGAAGAGGTCAGATGACCCCTTGCCTGGTGCTTCCAGGGCTTGCTCAGGACTCCAGTAGGAAGTAACTCCAGGACCCCTCTCCATCTCTAATTCTGAGCCTCACACACCATTGCGTCCTTGGGAATATTGCCTCTAGGACCCCCCTCCCCGCCCACGGCAGGTACATTGGCCGTCTGGGGGAAAATGCTGAGGATACAAGAACTCGGATGGGCCCCAGTTCAGTTGGACATGGAATTCCCCCTCTGGCACTTCTGAGCTCTGTGATATCAGACCTGTCACCTAACCTCTCTCGGCCTTGGTCTCCTGTACGTCGCTGTGAAGCGAACTGTTGTCATTTTTACTGATACTGATTGTGAGAAGGAAGGAGGCACATGTGTAAACGTTAAGTGAGATCATGGAAATGCACCAGGCCCGGGCTGGGCACACAGTTTCTCAAATCCTAGTGTGGAGTGAGTGCTGTGTGTGTGGTTTAGGGCACTGTGATTTCAGCCTCGTGGAACCCTGTGAGGAGTCACAGCTCTTAGAAACCCATCCTCCAGATGATCTGACTGGGGCTGAGGGCCACAGAGCCAGGCCGTAGCTGAGTGGGTGTTCCCTTGTCTCTCAGCTCTGAGGCCACCCAGGAGGCCCTGCCACCTCCTATCCAGGCTTCCCTCTCTTTTTGCCGTGTTTGAGGAACTCGGCTCAAGAACCACCAGCCACAGTCCTGAATGGGCCTTTGCTTCCAGGAGGACAGCAGGATGAACAGGCCCTTGCTTCCAGGAGGATAGCAGGATGGAGGCAGGATCACAGCAGGTATGCAATGATTTCTGTTTGCTTCTTGCTTCTTCAGTTTTTCCTCTGACAACATTCATAGAGAGCTGCGCTGCTGGACGTTTACTGCCCACCCTGAGGGCTGGCAGGGCCCTGGCTGGAGAGGAAGAGGACAGCCAGGGGGAGGAGGGGGAGGAGGGGCAGGAGGAGGAGGAGCCTGGAGCCGGAGCATGCTGTTCCTGAAGGTGTTTAGAAAGTGACGCTTTCTCCCCGCTGAGCTTCCTTTGGGCTGAGGGGTTCCTGAGACATTTGCAATGTAAAGGACCGCCATCCTCCATGACGCAGGGGACCAGATACCATCGGAACAAGAGTATATTTAGAAGACAGGAAATAAGCCCTCCAGTCTGCCCTTGACTTTACCGCAGGCGTTTTTGCCTTGTGAGCGCCCGGAGTTGACAGAGAGGCTGCAGGGCCTAGTGAGAGGAAATGGCTAGGGCCTTCGGGCTAATGCATCCTTTCTTCCCTTTTTCTCCTCCTTTCTCTCTCCGTTTCTATGCTTGCAGGCTCTGCTGGGGTTGTCCCAACGTGACGGGGAGAAATTGCTAGGAACTGAGTCATTTTGCTGGATTTTTTCAGCTGAGTCCCTGATTAGTAAACCTGGTTCAAGAATGGGAAAATGCACAGGGCTATTTTTAAGTGTTCTCAGCAGCAACGTTCCTAATTCCTAGAACAGACATCAATTGCTTTTCTGCCTTCAAGTGTAGACAAACACTTAGCAGCTGCATGACCTTTGGCAAATTAGACTTGCTGAGTGCTGGTGTGCTCATCTGTAAAATGGGGCTAATACCACCTCCCTCAGAGGACGTGATGACTGTGTGCATGTCCTCCCCGCCCCCACCCCCGGGGGCAGCACCTCTGGTCACCGCGGGGGTCAGACTGACTCTTCCAGGACCAGCGTGGGGCCCACTGAGTTCCCCATGTATCAGTTTACAATCCACCGTGGGTCCGCTACTGGAAGACCCAAACTGAAACTTATACATCATCAGCCAGGGGAAACTTGGCAATTTCGTTCATAAATAAGCATTTGCCAAGTCCCTCTGCGCTGGCCCCGGTGAGGCCACTGGAGAGAAGCGACATGGCTGTGGCCAGGGACTCTGTCTGGGGTGGAGGCGGACACAGGGATGGTGACAGTGGCTGTGATGAGTGGGAGGCACGTGCGGGGGCACCGGACTCAGCCTGGGGACTTTGGCAATGGCTCTTCCACACACCTCGCTGTCCATTTGTGAGAGTCCGAGGATACCCGGGATGCGGTGGTGTGAGAAAGACTGGGGACAGTGGATCAGGCATGTCTATAGGGATGCTCAGGGCAGGCACAGTCTCTCAGAATGAGCCGCGTGGGGTACACAACATTCCTAGGGAAACACGCGCACGTGTCTAGTATAAATAGCAGTTACTCTCAGGTTAGTGTCCACTGAGTGCTGGACACCGTGCGCCGGGGTTTACGGTGGATTTGACCAGAGGTGGCTTCGGCCTCTGTGTGACGGGCCAACAGGAGGCTCACCTGGGCAGCGTGTGGGGAGAGAGTGGGATTAACCTCGCCACGGAATGCTCCGAGGGCTTCCCAAAAATCCTTGTTAAAGAACTTTAGCAGATTAATTGCTCCTCTGCAATATAATTCCTTGTGTCACATTACACCAATTTATATTATGTGTGAAATAGAATACACAATTAGCTATATTATATATTGCATAATTGCTGTCTTAGTTAATTTCCAGCCCTACAGCTTTCTTACCAGAGGGTCAGAGTTGAACTCAGATTAGTCAGTATAGCGAATGGCTAGCATTTTCCTTAAGTTTGGCGGGGGGGGGGGGGGGGGGGGCATGGTAGCGAAGGTTGGAAGGATTATAGGTGAGTCTTGACCCTGGGGAATTGGCATTTGGATTATTCTCGAATGACCTGGGTAATCCAGGTGTGATGGTCCGAATGCAGTGGGAGCAGAGCATCTCGGGCTTGGCGAGGATGCGCACCCTCCCCGAAGCGTTGACCTGCGCCTCTCGGGGCAGCTCAGAGTCTCATGTGTGAAGTCAGGAAAATCAGGTTTCTCTGTTAAGGAAAAGCAAAAAACCCAGCACAGAAAGAAAGCCATCCGCTGGGATGTTGGTGAGGGCCACACAAGAGTGATGGTTGTTGCCGGGAGAGAGCCAGCGTGCACGCTCAGGTGTGGTGACGGTGGGCAGCAGTGGTGCTGAGGATTCTGGAGGGTTCGTGGAAGTTCTCACGTGCATGGAGGCCCCGTGGGCTTACATCGTCTGAGGGCCTCCCCTGCCCCCTGGCCTCTGTCCAGCCTCCGTCCTCTCAGGAAAGGAGGCAGGGGTTAGTGCAGGGGGCCCCTTGCCGGCTCTGGCCTCGGGTTCGGCTTCCTGCTGTGCTCTCTAGCCGAGTGTGGGTCCTTGGAACACGGGGCCTCTCAGAGCGCCTTGGGGGACCAATCAAGACCCTCAAGCCTGTCCTTATGTTTTGCTGTTTGTCTGGAGCCCACTGGGCACTCCACATTTGGTGGTGGGTGATGGAGGGCCAATGAAACGTGGAGAGCGCCCCCAAAATTCTAGCTCTGTGGCTTCAGAGCCCCCTCTTTGAGCGTCAATCTGGCGGGGGGGGGGGTTGTACTATTTATGCCTGTCAATGCAGGGAGAAGGACGCTGCATGAGATATTTACGGAACGTGCCCTGCACAGCGCCTTGCGTACAGAAGGTATTTGATAAACAGGAACTATTATTAATAAAACACAGCAGTTTGGGAAAGCAGATTTGGCTTCTTTAAGAGAGCTGTCTTGGAGAGATTTTTACATCCTACTGTACTGCTAAAGAGACAACTAAATTCCTGTTTACATATAAACCTAAACCTCCTATTCTAACTGTGCCACCACCTTAAAAGACATATATTTATGCTTTTGGTTTTAACCGTTCGTATGTTTAAAAGCGGCACGCACTTCCAGAGTGATTATGCTAATGTACATTAAGGACTTCAACGATTGCCCTCGTTATACTAACCATCTATTTGAACTACATTGTGCCAATAAGATGTTATCTTAAATAAGCTCCTAATATAACTCAGTAATCATTATAATGCTTTTTGGTGAAACTGTGGTGTTACTACTGAATTTAGCCATGAGTCTCAAATACTGAACCTTTGAGTGAACACCAGCAGTGCCCAGTTGCCGCATTCCTGGCCCCCCAGGGGAGCTAGATGTGGCTGTCCTCGCCGGCTGGGGAGGGCCGGGCCAGGCTGTCCCAGGACTCCCCCCCCAACCACCACACACACCCACAGTGGGACGTGAGCCAGTGTGAAGCCAGAGGTAGAACCGCCTTTCTCAGGAGCCTCATCAAAAGAGGAAAAGGAACTATAAATACAGCCGAATGTACACATTCGTTTCTCTGCTGTCACATTCGAATGTGACAGCAGAGACAGGAGTGGGGCTCAGCCTGGCTCACCGAGGGGAATGCAGACCAGGAGGGACTGCAGCCCAGCTCCCGGCCCCCTCTGCCGGGCAGACCCCACTGGCATTGCCTCCTGGTGCTCGCGAGGAGGGCGAGATGGGGCCGTGGGAACTTTGGGGGCAGGTGGATTTCTTTCACTACCTCCAGGCTGAAAGAAGCACTCAAGTATTGAAGGTGAAACTATCAGTTTATCCTCACATCTCATTAATGCAACAGAAAAATAGAGCCTCAAGGTAAAAATGGAGGATTTAAAAATATAATGACCTTCCTGCTTTTTAAAAAATGTTAATAGTTGGAAGCGTTTGGCTTTAAAGAAGGAAATGAGAGCCACACCAGGAGAATGCAAGGAATCACATCAAACGCACTTCCAGGAGAACTTTGGAAGCCTTGGTTAGCCAAGGAGTCTGAAGGGCAACATGGCCTCCAAGTTCAATGCCTGGCCTGGACATTCAGTGCTGCTCGCATGCAGCGCAGGTCCCTGGACTTCCTGCAGGGGAAGAAGACAAATTTTGTTTGTTTGCCGTGGAAGGAATGCTGATCTGGAGTCCGCAAACCTAGGTGTAGGGTCGTTACGGCAGGTCAGTTCACCTCTCTGGGTCTGCGTTTTCAGTGAGGCGATGTGTTATCCAAGGGACTCGTGTTCACTGCCTATTAATAGAGGGGCACCACGAAGCACCTGCTAAACTGCAAAGCGCTTTGCACATTTCAGGGGCTATTAGAATATCTGCAGAAGCCAGAGGGGAGAAGACCTTGCAGAGGTCACCTCCTTGTCAGGGTGTATGGGAGGAAGATAATGTAATGTGCAGAACCGAACCCAGCTCTCCAAAGCGCTCATTTACAGAAGGAGTTGCGCACTGTCGTGCTCCTGATGAACTTCACGGGCAAGCGGAGAGAGTAGTACTTGCCGAGCTATGGCACCTGCCCCCCGTCCTTCAGTTAAGGTGCAGAGGGCTTATACATTGGGCCCCCCTGTCCATGGGGCCATGTCCTTTCTCCCTTGCCCTACTACCTCAGAGAGTGGCACACATTTGCCTTCTCCTTTCTGATTTTATAGGTGATGTAAAAACCCCAGTTTTTACATCATGAACAAAAATGGCACCAGAATCTGGGCTTCTCTTTCTTCTAGAATGCAGGGTGGCCTCACATGCTCCTGCCTGTGGTGAGGGACACACTTGGGAGGACATTTCTGCAGAGGACAGTGAAAGCCAGCTGGCTGGCTGGGCCTGCCTAGGGGCCTGTCAGTCTGCATCAAGGGGGGCTTCTGCAGTCTTGAACATTCTGGAAGAACTAGTGTCTACTTTCTTTCACAAACTCATAGAAATTCTAAGAGGCTGACCAGGTTTGGTCTGGTGGTGGTCTTAGACAGAGGACTTGAATATTTCAATGTCTCAGAATCTTCTGTGATTTAATTTATATGATTGTTGTTAAATTAAAACTTCCAAGGCACGTATAATGTGTGTCCTCAGGTAGTTTCCATGTTGTGGGAACCCCGTTTATATTTTCCCTTGATCGGGCCACCATCTCTCCTTATCCTTGCCCCAAGGTGCTTACCAATGTGGACTTCATGCCTTAGGGATTTAGTATTAACTTCCCCATTTTACAGATGAGGCTATTGAGGCTTGGTGAGCTTTCAAAGAGGCCGGAGCTGGTCACT